CGTTATATAAGCATTCTTATAAAGTTTGAAAGCGTATAAACTCTCAGAAAACTCTCATTAAACGGTTATCAACGCTCTGTAAAGCTTCTTATTTTCGTCAGGGTACGATTAATCACTGACATTTCTTTCTGTAAGGCATCCATGGCGGTGTCAGCATCCGATGACATATTAACTTCGCTCTGTAATCCAAGATAGACAGCAGAGGATAGACATGGAGGTAGACATAAAGAAGCAAGGAAAATAAGTTTCAAGGCAAAAAATATTTTACCTCATCATTCTGATTGATCTGAAGGTCAATGACGTCAGTCATTTCTGAAGATGTACATTCAGAGNTTGGAGAGGCCTGCATTTCAATGCTGACAAGCTGATTAGAATTTGTTGCCATTTGAAGATCACTGGCGTTTGAAGGTGGCTGCTTAGCAGATAAAGGGGCTTTTATTTCAATACTATCGTTTTGTCTTTGTTCCTTTGGCATTTCCTGAAAAACAGATGTCGTATTCTTAACAAAGAGAGCACAAAAACGCCACAGGATGCTACATGGCAGAAGCTATACAATGCTTACCTGATCATCATGATCTGTTGCTAAGATCGTTTCTTCACATTCGGACGAGGAACAGTTGTCATCGTCGATATCACCACCATCACTAGCAAAATCAGGAGAACAGGGCTCCTTCTGACAAACAAACAGAGGATGACACAACATACGAATATACATAACCAGAGCAAGGGAAACCTAATCTCGACTTGGCCACGAGCTTTTACCATGCTACTTTGATACCAATTGACACGTACAAAAGGCATCGAAAAAAAGAAGAAAGAAGAAAATGAACAGAAAAGTATGAGATTTTCAGCGAAGAACTTACCTCATGACACGAACGTGTAAGTCTACTCCATTCTCGACGTTGAGTACGATCCGGTTTGGGGGCTGAGAGATCGTAGCGGTATTTTTTATATCTAGGCAGCATATTTCCTTGCAAAATCATATGACATCAGGCAAACAAACAGAACTCGAAGTAAAAATGTTGTCGGTCTGAATTTGCGCAGCACACAACAAANAATATCAACGTAGGCTAAGGTTAAGACACCGCCACTGCCTCCTGTGTACTGCACGATTCAGGACACTCCAGGATGTGTGATGTGATAATATTTTAGCAGGAAACGTCGCACAGTAACTAAATATTCGATACAGTAACTAAATATTCGACGCTTAACGTAAATTTCCAATTTAAAAAAATATGAATTGCAAAAAAATTTAGATAAAATTTACCTTTTATTGCATTACCGGAGTCGGCGGTCGATTTNGTCTAATTGTATATTGTGCATGAAATAGACCTGACCTCTCTTTTCTGATAATGCACGTTTTTGCGTGTTGGTCTAAATGCGGTACAGTTGAGTGAGNTTATAGGCTGCGTTCGGGGAGCACGCTATCAGCACTATTGCGACATTCTATCTTTGTTTTACTTCTAATGAGCAATAAAGATAGAATGATGCAACAGCGCTGATAACGCACTCCCCGAACGCAGCCTTGATAGCACGGAGAAGATACGCACACAGGTACTTCATACTGTGTACGTGTGCGCTCGAGACTTCGGGCACTATCGGGTAGTAAAAAGAGACAGAGATATGACTTTCTGTCTCGCTCTCGCTCGTGCGAGTTGGCGTCGTTTACGACGTTTAACTCAAAGTTACGCGTAAGCGGCAAAAGATATGTCCAAAGTCTCCAGCTAATTTCCTAACTAAACATATATAAAAAAAAGTAAACACAATTTAAAAAAGTTAGGAAGCGAGCTGAGGCCCTATTCGTATACGAAACTCTACTGTTAATGTCACATGTACTGTAGACTTTCGTATACGCAATTA